CCGTGTTTGCTTCTGCCAGAGCTATCTGCCTCTTCTCCCCTTTTTTATTCTATTTATGAAAGCGCTCACTTCTGCAGAGGTAAACCCCTTGATGTAGCAAATGTCACTGGAGTGGAAATAAAATGATTTGTTGTGCTGCTGCCTGCACCACCTTTTCAAGCACAGGCCAGAACACCTGGAGAAGATTTGTCTATATTTCCCCCCCATCATAGATTCTCTGATCTGAAAGAAAATACCTCACAAGCACAGGGTAGGAATTGGAAGAGACGGCTGGGCTTTCATAAGAAAACCAATTTGAGCTTCCTTCTGCTCCCCTGAACTCAATGCATCTTCAAACTCCACTGAACTCTTCAGCAGTCCTTGATGTCTCTCTGCTAGATCTGAAGATTTATTATTACTTTAAATATATACTCTTACTATGGTTTATTTGCAAATATTAAATAAACCATTTCCATTTTTTAATAAAAAGTTTGTTATCTTGATTTCTTATTTTTTTCCGAGTAATTTTTGTCATTTCTGCATATTCCACAAGTTTTTGTATCCATTCTTCTTTTGCTATATAGTCTATTGTACACCTATATGCATCTCAAGTCTTCCATGGAGATGGTGGAAAACATTATACTCCAAGAACATCCCTCAAGACCCCTCTCATAGCTTCAGCCAGTTTGAGTCCAGATCATCTAGCCACGCTCCCAATCTCTGGGTTGCAGCCTCTCCAAGCAGCAGCCAAGACGATTCTGCCCTTTGTTCCCAATTCTTGCTCCCAGAAACTCCTGCTTTAAGCAGCTCCTCCCCACCCATCTGCTATCCCACCTAGTTTTTAAGAGGCACGTTTTTCATGTGAGCACAGCCTGACCCCTCCCTGTCACCTTGGCAACCCCTGTCTAGCCAGGGGAGGATTCATCTTTGATATGGGCCACCTTTTGCCATGTTAACAAATCTTTGATATGGGCCACCTTTTGCCATGTTAACAAATCTATCCTAGGTGAGATCCTGGTTTCGAAAAGAAGTCTAGACTGTATTCTTCCACTGGCTTGGAACCTTCCCTTCAATACTTCAAATATCAGCTAGATTCATTCATTGATTTCTTAGGTTCAGCATTTGGAATATAATGAAATTTGAAAGTGTCCTTAGACTTCTGTCTCTATCAATAGCTGGGCCTTCTTGGTAGTGGAACCAATATTGTCAGGCTCCTTCCCAGTAAACTCATGAAAAAAAGACATATTTACCTCTTTCCCTGAAGAGTCTATTTCATAATAGCACTGCAGCAGAGGAGAAGGAATATTGGGTTCTGTTCCAGCTTCCAACTGGGTGACAAGAGATATGAAAGTGGCAAGCAGGACGGGATAACTGAAAATGGGGCATTGATAGACATTTCCCACTTCCACATTCTTTACCAACACTCAGGAGTGGGTGGAGGTTTCAGAAATGTCACTCAGCTTGCGGAAGTGATATTGATTGATACGGCTAAAGGTAGAATCATATTGTTTGGGGCAACGAATTGTTGAGGCAAGTATTAAAAGCAAATAACACCCACCCTGAAGTATTCTGCTGGTTACAACTGAGAAAGTACAGCTCTACTGAAGAATATGAACAAACCCATGCTGTGTTCCTTTAGCTATAATTAGGAAATTGGGGGTAGGTTGGCAGCAAGCATTAATAATCAGGCATGTCAACTCCTCTTATTGAGAACATTGAGTCAGAGAAAGGGTGACATTGATTGAAAACTGTCAAAAGGTCTGTATCGACACAGGATGCACATGAAGAATGGTGTGTTGAACAATGTTTTCCGAAGCCAAGATAGTAATTAGAGCTGATTGAAAAATGTCAAAGCCAGTTTTAAAAAAATGAAAACAAAAGAACATTCACTGTGTAAGAATCTTGGTCCACCTCGCTCAATACACAGAATGGTGAACCTGCACAGCATTCTCTTGACACTGAATCACCTTGTGTTTTCTGTGTTCCTAAATGCTTAGTATTGGAGCACACATGCTGCTTAGCTGGCTCTAGGACACCACTGCAGAAACAGCAATGGGCCTTTGACCTTCTGCAACCCCAGACCACTACACCTCTGACCGGTATCCCTTCCCCATATTTGGTGAGGCGAGATTGTTTTCAGTGAACTGCTCCATCCAGTCTGCTACATTCCAAGCAAACAGCAGCATTAGAGAACATATTTCACAGCTCCAGCTGGCTTTGAGACTCTTAGGAAGGCTTCTGCAAAACATGTTAACATAAAAACTGAGCAGGGAAGAAGGGTTCAAATAAAAGACTGCCCAACTTCTGAGCAAGAGAGGTTTGTGTGCAGAGACGTACACAAACGTGTTGGCAAAACGTGTTGGGGGTTGGCAAAACTGGCTCCCACCATGTGCAGTGGCCACGGAATATGTGCAAAAATATCAGACTATGGACTATGTGAAGAAGAAGAAGAAGAAGAGGAGGAGGAGGAGTTTGGATCTGATATCCCGCTTTATCACTACCCAAAGGCGTCTCAAAGCGGCTAACATTCTCCTTTCCCTTCCTCCCCCACAACAAACACTCTGTGAGGTCAGTGGGTCTGAGAGACTTCAAAGAAGTGTGACTAGCCCAAGGTGACCCAGCAGCTGCATGTGGAGGAGTGGAGACACAAACCCAGTTCCCCAGATTACGAGACTACCGCTCTTAACCACTACACCACACTGGCTATATGTGGGGGAGATGTGTCACACTGACCTGCGAGCACTCCAGTTGGAGAACAGCCTTTACCAAAGGTGTCATGGACTTTGAAGACACTCAAACTCAGGACGCAAGGGAGAAACCTTCTAAGAGGAAGGCACACTTGGCAAATCCACACCGTGATCAACTCCTGCCCGGAAACCAATGTCCCACTGTGGCAGGACGTGTGGATCCAGAATTGGCCTCCACAGTCACTTACGGACTCATTGTTAAAACCATGTTTATGGAAGACAATCTTACTCAGCAATGAGTGATTGCCAAAGAAAAAGAAGAAGAATACTGGTGTTGCAATGAGATCAAACGTGGGAGAAGCTTCCTGTCCTTGCATCACGGCACAAATCCTAGAATCCTAGAATTGTAGAGTTGGAAGGGACCCCAAGGTCATCTAGTCCAACCCCCAGCAATGCAGGAATCTCAGCTAAAGCAAAGGAATGCATTTCCCTCCCCCCATCCTTCAACTTGCCCTCACTCCAAAAGCTTTGAGTACATGGGTCATGTCAAACGTTTTCTGGAGGGGGCGCCAATACAGCTGCTTGCCAGGGACCCCCGGAAAACCTCTGTTTGTGTGCACCTGTGATAAGAGGACTGTGGTCCTCCCGAGGGACAGAGAGAACTCCCATATTTCAATCTCCTGAGTGCTGACCTTTTCCTCTTTCCAAGAGTGTCTTTGCTGAATAGACAGCACCGCCTGCAATGTGCTGATGGCACTAAACTCGAAACGGTGCAAACAAAGGGAAGGACATAAAATTTTCAAAAGGCACAGATTCTTTCGGGGCTGGAGCGGTAAAAGCAAATACAACACTGCAACCAGCACATTCCAGAGTTGTCAGATCTCCAACAGCAACCAAAGGGGTCAGGGTTTTGCACCGCTCCCCCCAGCCCTCAAAGAGAGAGATTTGTGCCAATGAATACAAAAGCACATCCCTCCTGACTTCAGCTCCAGTGGTCCGAGATAGGTATACATTCATGTTTTTATATACAGCTATTAAACGTTTATGTGCTCAGCTGAGTTACATTTTAAGGCAGTGGTTCTGGGAAGGGAAATCAATGCAATGAGTTGATTTTCGGCTGCTCTGCTCAGAACCTGCTCTCTCAGTTACTCAGGGCTTTTGGTAACATTCTTAAATCACATTTTCCATGTTAACAACAAATTTGGACCCAACATTATAGATGAAGGTGCCCAGTTATTTTTTACGGAAACTCCAGCAAAGTTAATATAATGAGCTGGAGACTAGTGTACGTTTGGCTTATGTGTTGAAGCGTGTCAGTCCATACAGACCCCATCCATGCTTAAAGATGACTTGATCAAATTTTCCCTTTTAGGAACAATATGAGAACTGAAACAGCGATCCTTCAGCATGTGCACTTATCCAAATTTGATGATGTGGTTCTCCAAATAATATTTACAAAAATTCACATATTTGGGGAAAGTGTATGTAAAAATGAATACATCTGTGAAAATAACATTAGGAGGAATAGCTTGCAAAAATGTGAAGAAGAAAAAAGTAAGTAAAAACTACGTACAAAGATGTGTTTATTAGAAGAAATTGAAATGAAAAGAATTTTCATGAGGATGTGAAAACAAATCAATCATGAATTGCTGCAGAAATGCGGAGAACTGAATTTAAGATGGGAAAATGTAAAAGTGATAGACCCCCTTGCTAGTTTTAAAAGTTTTTATTTTATTCATTTGGATCTTCTGAAGAGAAGCAACGATTTCCTTACCTGCCGCAGTTACTCATTCACTCAACAGTGCTACAAAGATTCTGCCGCCATCAGTGGCGTAGCGTGGGTTGTCAGCACCCGGGGCAAGGCAAGTAATTTGCACCCCCTAACCTGTGGATTTGCGCCCCCTAACCCTAACCCCCAGATGTTGCGCCCGGTGAGGCCGGGCCCCCTGCACCCCCCACGCTACGCCACTGGCCGCCACCAACCACTGCCAACCACTGTCTTAGTTTTACCTGCATTTCTATACAGTCAATATTTTATCAATCAATTTATTTTTACACAATTTACTCGGGTAAATGTGATTGTAGCAAGTGTGTTCTCATCAGTTCTTGCTGAGGTGAAGGGTCATTTTGCATATATTTAAGCATCAATTGATTTTTTAAAAACAAATCCAGTTCCCATTTAACTCCAACCTCCACAATTTTGTCCTCTTTACAACCTCTTGTATGTGTGTGTTTGTGTAACAACCTGGGATTTCATCCCATGCATCTAATGAAGTAACTGTCATCTACAAATTTTGAGCCATAATAAGGTTGCACAAAGCTCTTGGGTTATTTTTGGGAGGGCGACCCCGCTCGCGCTTCCTTCCTTCCCGCCTCTGCCGACGCTGCGCCCGCTAAGCAGCACCTGACGCCGCCGCCATGCCGAAGAATAAAGGTAAGGGAGGTAAAAACAGAAGACGAGGTAAGAATGAGAATGAATCAGAAAAAAGAGAACTGGTGTTCAAAGAAGATGGACAAGAGTATGCCCAGGTTATCAAAATGTTGGGAAATGGCAGACTGGAGGCATTATGTTTTGATGGTGTAAAGAGGTTATGTCACATCAGAGGAAAGTTAAGAAAAAAGGTTTGGATAAATACATCAGATATCATACTGGTGGGTTTGAGAGATTACCAGGATAACAAGGCTGACGTCATTCTAAAGTACAATGCAGATGAAGCCAGAAGTCTGAAGGCATATGGAGAACTTCCAGAGCATGCCAAAATTAATGAAACCGATACATTTGGGCTTATATGAGAAATCAAATATGTTCCAATTTAACTAACCTCCACCAAAATATTTGTCCATCTACAACTGCTCTTGTATGTGTGGTTTTGTACAACTGGGATTTGACTATTCACATGCATCCTAAATGACAGTTAACTGTCATTTCTTCATTTTCACCATAATCAACAGGTTGAAAAAGCTCTTGGGTATTTTTGATTGAAAGTATTACTGGTGCTTTAAAAAATGTATCCATGCCTGTCACATCCCATACCTAGGAAATCCATTTTCTAACTGAAGGAGCGCAAGTTTTGCCCAATTCTTCTAATTATGGAGAAGATATTTTTTTGCAGATATTAATGCATTCCATGTCAGTTCACCGTGGGACTTGTTAACAATTCCTTTGACAGAACTGAATAACACCTCCTAAAGGCTTTGTAGGAATCATGTAGTCTGTCATTTATTTCATCATTAGTAGAATTTGCAGCTGGAAATATGGGTCAATAGAAGGCTGCACTTAACATTCCAGCAAAGTTGCTCTTTGACATCCAGGCCCCTACCATTCTGAACTAGTTCTATATCTTTTATTTCAGTTACAATATTTAAGGCAGAGATGGGGAACCACCCAAGACCTTGCCCAATGCTTGTCCTGGCTGGAATGAGTCCTTGAACTGCAATGACACTTTTGGCTTGGCAGGATGGAGAAGTGTATTGTATAGACCTGTAAAAACTGTGGAATCCAGATTGGTCAGTTGACAATTCATGCAGCTCCTCCCCAGGGTGAAATCATTTGAGTGACCAGGCGTGGCAAATTCACCCCCATATAAGAGTGGGAATGGCATTCTTCCAAATTATGAGGAGGTATGTAGCTATGATACATCAGTCAGATATTACCAAGGCTTTAATTTACCTCTTGCTTCACTGCAAACATATTTTTACAGAGCTTTAACTAGGGGCAGGTGGCGCTGTGGGTTAAACCACAGAGCCTAGGACTTGCCGATCAGAAGGTCGGCGGTTCGAATCCCTGCGACGGGGTGAGCTCCCGTTGCTCGGTCCCTGCTCCTGCCCACCTAGCAGTTCGAAAGCAAGTCAAAGTGCAAGTAGATAAATAGTAACCGCTCCGGCGGGAAGGTAAACGGCGTTTCCGTGCGCTGCTCTGGTTCGCCAGTAGCGGCTTAGTCATGCTGGCCACATGACCCGGAAGCTGTCTGCGGACAAACGCCGGCTCCCTCGGCCCATAGAGCGAGATGAGCGCCGCAACCCCAGAGTCGGTCACGACTGGACTTAATGGTCAGGGGTCCCTTTACCTTTACCTTTACCTTTAACTAGAGAGGCAGAGCCTCTTGTTATGTTTAGAATGCACTCAGAAACATTTGAGTATGTTCCTGCACTGGAAATCAAAGTCTATGGTACTTTACAGGAGCAGCAACAACTAAATTCTCTCTGTATGTTTGTATATATACCGTATATAATGTCTGCATAGGGAAAGCACCCACACACCCATGGATCGAGGAACATGAAGCCTTTCCCCTACCCCACCTTTGGATTTATTACTTGGTTGCCCTGCATACTCTCAGTCACTATCAGTTCCCCACAGGATCTCTTACCCATTTAAAACCAAATAATTGCCTTCCACAACAATACCCATTTTGCTAGCACCTTTTGCCTTTGCAAGCAAGCTTGTCAGGATGCTAATTTGTTTGGTGACATGATAACGGCTTCAGTCTTCTCCGCAGTCTCTTGGTGGTGGGAAAATGAAACAACATCAGATGCATTTTTAAAAAAAAAACCGCAGAAAGAGTGAAAATTAGACAAGGGGCAGAACAGGAAGAAGTGAAATCTAAATCACTGGGGCCCTTGAGAATTCACTGTTCTAAATAAGCAAAATTTTTCACTGCAGCAGTGGCTTGTGGTTGTATGATTAGTAATATATATCCATGACAACAAGAGAGAGTTGCCCAGAGGAAGTCCAGACAATGAACCCTCTTGATAATTGCAATAGGATCCAAAGGGCTGGCTCATTCTTCGCTTGTGAGTTGAAAGATAGTTGCCCTAATTTTTTGCTGTCTGACAACAGTGAGGGATGGTGAAGCCAGAAACAGTGGTGGTGGGACACAGGGGATCAGTCTCCCGAAGGGATGAGCTGGGAGGTACTAGAAGCAGGAGGTTTGAGTGAACATGGGGGGAAAGAAGAAGGAAGCCATTCTAGGACAGGGCTGGGTGCCAAGAGTGTGAGCAGACTCCTCTCTGCCAGAGGAGGAGGAAGGTGGTTCTATTGCTCAGCATCTGGACTAGCATTCCTACTGACTCTCCCCTGACACCCAGAATGCAAAAAGTCCTGCACATTGCTGAGCAACAGCCTAGACAGGCCCAGAGGAGAAACCCTCTCCCTTGCTGCAGTCTACAGCTACTTGGGAGGAGTCAAGACTAAGGAGGCTAGAGAGGGGAGGAGGGGCCACATGGCAGTTCCAGCAACATCTTCAATGAGGGGAAACTAGCCCAGATGGTGTCAGGTGTGTGTGCAGGAGCTAGGCCCTGTGATCAATAGGACTTTGCAGGACTGGGGCCTTCCTAAGTTTGTTCTGAAGAGGCAAGGCGTGGCCTCACAGGTGAGGCCAATTGGTATCTCACAGCACCTGGTGGCAAGAGCCAGGAAGGGATATAAGGTCAGCATTTCACTTCAGTTCTTTGCCACAGCAACACGCTTCCTGCCTTTGGCTTCTTGCTTCCTGATCCTTGGACCTCGGCTTCTTGACTCCCTGCTTCTTGATCCTTGAACCCTTGACTTCTTGACTCCCAGCTCTCGGACTCTTGGCTTCCTGACTCCTGGCTTCTGGACCCCCGTTCCTGCTCCCACCCCGCCATCTAGCCCCTGGTCCTGATGTCCCCTGCCGGGACTTCGATCACCCATGAACCATACCGTGACAGATGGACTCCGTTGTGTTTCTACTTTTGTGAATAAAATTGAATTGCATTTCATGTCTCAAGTCCTTTTCCTGACCTGTGGCTGACCTGAATTCTCCTGACAGCCCCTTGACAGTATTCAGAAACGTTACCACCTCTGATCATTGAGGCAGAGCATAGCCATCGTATCAGCAGCCATTCATAGCCTTATCTTCTAGTATTGCAGGCAGGAGTTCATCAATGCCTGCCATTCCAAAATCTACATAGAGATGCTGAATATGGAACCTGGGACCTTCTGCACACAAAACGTTTGCTCCACCACTGAGCTACTGTCCTCCTTCGTGTCTCATAGGTGCTATATTTTAGCGCAGTGGCGAATATTACGGTGCACAATATTAAAGTCTCTCAACAGTTCTCCCAGAAAACAAAAATATGGAACTGCATCCAGATAGTATCATGTTATACTAATATAAATTTACGACCATTATAGATCACCTGGAACCCTATTGGATTTTTGCACTACAGAAAGTTACCCTTGGTGGTTAGGATGAAAGAGTCTATCAGCACTTTTATAAGTTAATGTTACAATGTCTGTTTCCACACTGGATATATATCTCCATTTATATGAGCTGTAACAGCCGTCAACTACTCTCTTAAAGGGACAATATCTTATCTATTCCAATACAGGGTTGTAAAAGCAACAGGAATGACCCATCAATATAGCCAAACAGGAAGTGTAGCTTTATCTAATAAAATAAAACTCAGGCTCAGAGCACTTGGGGGTAGCTGTGTGCAGTGTGTCACTGCAGCAAAGGGCTGGAAGGAACTCTTCCTCCTGGCTATGTGACTCTGACCTGTAGCCCCACCAGGCTGGCTGTCACTCTGGAGAGCCTGTCAAGTCTAAAGGACACCACAAAAGACCCAATGCTAGGGCAGTGTAGGGTGACAAAGAGTGCCCTTTACTCAGTAATTCCTCAGGCATTTACCCCACCAGATCTTAATTTATTTTTCATGCCTGGACTAAACGCCAATTAAACAGACAGACAGACAAACAAACAAAAAACATCACTCCAGTGGTATGGAGCAGCAAAAAAGAGAAGCCCCAAAGCTAATCAAGGGCTTCCCCCCAAAAATGCCTACACAGCCTCCCCACAGGAAACAAGGAAAGCCCATGCTGCAGAGGGAGGGAGAGGACGCTGCAGTGTGTTTGTGGCAGAGCCAGCTTATTGGCCAGATGGCCCACCTGACCCTTCCCAATAATAATAATATTAATAGATAAAAAGGTAAAGGATCCCTGGATGGTTAAGTCCAGTCAAAGGCGACTCTGGGGTTGCAGCGCTCATCTCACTTTCAAGCCGAGGGAGCCGGCGTTTGTCCACATACAGTTTTCCAGGTCATGTGGCCAGCAGGACTAAACCGCTACTGGTGCAATGGAACACCGTGACGGAAACCAGAGCGCATGGAAACACTGTTTACCTTCCCGCCACAGCAGTACCTATTTATCTACTCGCACTGGCATGCTTTCGAACTGCTAGGTTTGCAGGAGCTGGGACAGAGCAACAGGAGCTCACCCCATCACTGGGATTCGAACTGCTAACCTTCTGATCAGCAAGCCCAAGAGGCTCAGTGGTTTAGACCACAGTGCCACCCGTGTCCCACTGATAACAATAATAATCCTCCCCAGGTCAAAACCATTTGGGGTCTTCTTCCCATGGATCTGGGGTGTGGCAAATTCACCCCCACTCAAGGTGGGAGCAGCATTCTCCACCATTATGTGGCCATTGCAAGACACAGGATCCTCAGTCAGGGAGAGAGGTGGCAACCTGAGAAATAGCTTTAGGTAAGGATTATATCTGGTTAATTCTGATATTTGGATTTTCAGAAAGGTTCATGAAAGTGCAGGGGAAAGGTATTACAGTTCTGGGACACATTTTTTGACAATTTCCCTCTGTTAGATCCACTTGACTAAAACTAATGGAGTTCTAATATCCAGATAGCGATGTTCTTCTTGCAGATGGCGATGTAAAAGTACTTTTGGCCCTCATCTTCCTTCTAAACCCTGCTTGCCCGTAGGGCGATGGACAGCAGCTGGTTTTATCTTTCCCTGCATACAAATTGCTCTGTACGAC